CCATTCTTCAGCTTGGGGCTTTTGCTTCTCCCCCTGCCTCCCCAATAGTCTCTTTTCTTGAAAAACTTACTCATCACCTCTTGATACCTCCTCTTTAAAAACTTATCTACCAGCACCACCCACTCTGTAAGATGGAAGTCCTGAAAAAGTGGCAGATGAAGATGGTTCGCCTATTACTGAATGCTGGCTGCCTAAGTAGGATGACCTGAGTTTGATCCTTGGACCCCACATGAAGGTAGGAAAGAACTGCTTCCACATGGTCGCTATAGTGTGTGTGGCATATGCCATAATAATAAAAAAATAAGTGTTTTACACTTGGTTATGTCATGTGTGTAAGTGTTTTACCTGCACTTATATGGTGCTCACAAAGATCAGAAGAGGATGCCAGCTTCCCTGGGACTAGAGTTCTAGTTTGCAAGCCACTTTGTAGGTTCTGGGAAGCTAATCTGGGTCCTTTGGAAGAGCAGCAAGTGCTTTTAACTGCTGAACCATCTCTCCAGCCCCACAAACAATTATATATATAATTAAAAACCTGATAAAGTTCTCTGTGGGGATTTTCTTCCTTCCTTTTCCCCTTTTCTTTCTTCTTTTTTTTTCTTTTGGTTTTTTGAGACAAGGTTTCTTTGTGGCTTTGGAGGCTGTCCTGGAACTAGCTCTTGTAGACAAGGCTGGTCTCAAACTCACAGAGATCCCCCTACCTCTACCTTCTGAGTGCTGGTATTAAAGGTGTGCACCACCACCCGGCTCCTTTTCCCTTTCTTCCTCCCTTCTTTTCTCCTTCCTTCTTTCCTTCCTTTCTTCCTTCCTTCCAGCTGTCCTTAAACTCTTAGAATGACACCCACATTTGGCCAGTTCCACAGACTCAGTAGGTTGTTGCCTGGATCTTTGGAATACACTGAGGAGCAACGTGTACATGTGGCTTCTAGTGTCTACAGCTCACTCTAGTGAGAGCAGCATGAAGAAACCCACTGATGAGAAAGTGCTTTCAGCCTGGTCTATGAGGTAGGGGCCTGTCTTGTCTGCGATCCTCACACCCTGGGATCTCAGGGTTGACATTAAGGGAATCTTCCTGCTTCTTCAGGGGCTCCTGGGTGCCACCACCCTTCTTTATAGCATCTGCCCTGAGGGGAAGGCCATGGATGCCCACATAACTGGGGAGGTGGCCCTCACCATGGGAATTGGGACAGGCATGGTTCTACCCTTCCTGGGGAGAAGGTGGGCACACACAGTAAATAAGGAAGGAGAAAGAAAGACACAGAATAGAATGAACTGCACTGTGTCCTCAACTCCAGGCAGAACTAGGGCAGTCTGAAGTGAGGAAGTGAGGATGAGAACAAGGCGGCTACTCTCAGAGCTGTCCTAGGCATCCCAAGGAGCAACTCAGTCTGGGGTGTTCTGTGACTGGAGGTGGTCCCAACAGGCATGGATGGCAATTGAGGGACTTGGAAGTGTAGGAACTAGGAAGGAGGGGCTGACAAGGGCTAAAAGTCAACCTGGAGACTCCTCTGGAAGGAAGGGAGCTGCCAGTGGCCCATGTGCTCGTGATATGGTCACAGGGGGAGATGAGAAATAGGACTGTGGAAACCTGGAGGTGAGAACATGAGCCGGGAGCTTGGGGAGACTTGGGGAAAGGGTACCAGGCCTAGACATGCTTCTTAGTCCTTGTTTATCTCATCCTCTTGGCTGTGGCCCATAGCCCCGGCTGCGAAGACCACTGTGAGTCGCCATGCACCTGCCAGATGGCTCTCTGCCTCTTGGTGGGTACACTTCTGCTAACAGTGCACTGGAGTCCATCCCAGAGTGACAGAGGCCTATCATGTGATCAGGTCATCCTCTTGTCCGTGGCTCACTGTGCTGTTCACGGAGTTGCCACTGGAGAGTTGAGCAGAAGCTGCGCCCAAGTCCAGATGGTGTGGTCATGTCCAACTCTACCAGCCTTTACAGCCAAGACCAGAAAGAAAATGAGCTGGACCAAGTCTACTTTCCTTGTAGTCACGCTGGCTCCCAGTTCTTGCTTATCATTCCAAAGACCTGAATACCATTTCTCCAGGACTGATATTCAGGCCTGGGGTCTGGCCAGCCAAGGAATCATCCCGACACCAGATTCCCTTGGCCACCTGCTTGTAACTCTGCCATTGGACCACACCTGGGCCTGAGCGTGGGCTGGGCCCTGTGCCTTTTCTCTGAATTTTAATAGTTTTCTGGGCTAGAGAGCGGCCAGCCACTATGATGGCCGAAGCATTGAACTCAGAGAAGGAAGCTCTTACCCAGGCACTCTCCCACTAGAAGCTGGAGGCCTAGGAGACACTGCTGGCTCAGGCTCCTCCCTCCACCAGGCAGCGAGGTCAGCTGCTACAAATTGCTAGTTATTTCTTTCTTCAATTAAGGACAATTCTTCTGATGCAGGAAGTTAACTCCCACCAGTTAATCTAATGGCCTTGAGTTCCGATGTGTTTGCCCTGTCTGAAGGCAGGGCCTTGGCAGTCACTCCAGGTCTGTGCATAGAAGCCGCATGAGAGGCCAGGCCATGCAAGCCCTGCTGGGCTCCACACCACCCCCAGGGAAGCTTCTCACTGGCTGGAGATTCAGGGAAGGCTTAAAGGGAGTCAGGAAGTCTGCTTTCTCACCTGGTCAGTCTGGTCCATTGTCATTCTGTGTGTGGAATAGAATGGGGAGGGTAGACTGTGAGGTGACTTTGCAAGTCCCCATCTGCTTGGCACCTCACCTGTATGATCCACCCCTGCCCAAGGGTCGCTGGTCTGGAGTTTGGGATGGCCAGACTCAGACCGAAGAGGGTCTTAGGGGCGCCTGTGGAGTATCACCTGTAAGCAGGTGTGCTTTCCTGGGTCTGTGTGTATGTGAATGTTCACACAGGTATTCATATACACGAGTACTTATGTACATGCATGTGTACACGCGCTCGTGCAGGACCTTAGGCTTGCAACACACACACACACACACACACACACACACACACACACACACACACACACCCTCACTGTGCCAGGAAACAGGGCTGCTTGCGGTTACTATTCCTGCTGTGAGCCAAGACCTGGGGTGGTGCTTAAGCCCAGCTGTGTCCCTTCTGTAACTGGTTTATTATGACTTCCGTAATCAGTGATGTCCACTGTCACCACTCATGTACCCACAGACCAGGTGGCCAAATCGAGACATTGTACAAGCTGCTAGGCCTCTGCAACTCCCACAGCGGCAGGGGAGTGTGAGGACAAGGAGACCCACAGGGATAGAGCACAGGCCTGAAAAGGAATTCTCTAGGACTATGAGCAGTGTGAATTTCTTAGTCTGTTTCCTCTGTGTAATCTGGGGATGGCACAATATCCCTCAGAAGGTACATCGGGAATTAACTAAAGTTCCCACAGAAAGCCACACAAAGACTGCTCATTCAGTAATATTCACAGCAGTTCCAGTATGGGGGAGCACTCCATGGTGAGGGGTGGCTTGGGGGTATCCACACCCTCCCTGCTAGTAGCCAGTGGCATGCACTGGTGAACAGCTTTGAATTCATGACTTTGGGGCTTCTGAACTTCCATGTCTACAGGAGTCTGTGTTGCTGTTTGAGACTGGAGTCCTTGGGACTAAAGGGTTTCTTGTGAGGTGGGACTTTCATAGCTAAAACTGGGACAACCCCTGTCAAGGTGTAATGGCAGAGAGGATCCTAGGAAACCCTGGTTTGGTGGATGAGGCATCAGAAGGCAGACAGAAGCCCATGAGTAGGTGGTACAGGATTCAGACTTCTACTCAGGTGAAGAACATTTTTGCTGTTGTTCTGTGCAAAAGTTTCAGAAAACCTCTTGCTGGAGGTACTGAGCCCACTGCTTTTGGATAGAAATAAGAGGGAGTAGACAGGCTGATTAACAGGAGTGGGTGTGTGCATGATGGACTAAATGTCCATGGAGGCTCCTTTGTGTGCTCTGTTTCCATGGGGCAGTGCTATGACATTAGAGTAAAGTCCGGGTTGGCTCACGGGTGGAACTATCTGGTGCACAGGATGACTCCCTGGCTGCAGACTGTAGGAGAAAAGCAGGGTTCAGGAGAAGCCCAACAGTGCTCTGAAGAGCCTATCCCTCACCCTGTCCAGCATCAGGATGTCAGGCAGAAGGCTGGTTCCACATCCTCTGGGGTACAGAAGTGGCCTAGGACTGACAGGGGGAGAGGACTATTCTCTCCTGTAAGCTACCTTCTAGACCCCATCTAAAATGACTGGCCATCTTCTATGGATCCCCGGACTGCATTGGGCAGAAACCACAAATTCAGTGTCTCCGGAGGCCTATTAACTAGAATGTCTGCACTTCCACGAAGAAAGTGTTAAGGAATACTGCTTCTTGCGAGGTTCCCCATAAACCCTGCTCAGCCTGGTGAGATTTGCAGGTTTAAGGGTCCTTTAGTATTAAAGGACAAAATCCATTTCTACTGAGGCTAGAGAAGGTACAAGCACCCTGCACCCCAGAAGCTGATGGAGAAGTCCCCACTGTCATCTCTGCAAGACTTCGTTTTAGGTTTTCCCGTCTCTTGAGTCTTGTTTTTTTTTTTTTTTTTTTTTCCTCTCGCCCTGTCGCCCTGTCCCTCTCACTAGCTCTAGCCAGCTCCTATTTCCTTGAATTTCTCTCTCCCAAGGGTGTTTCTACCGTAGGAGTGTCTCTTTCTGGCTCAGTGTCTCAGGGTCACTGCGCCCCAGGCTCGTAGACCGTGTCTCCATCCCTGTTCCCTGTTCAGCTTTCAGGGTCTCTGAACCCTGTTCTGTCTACGTCGGCGGCTCGCCTCGGGTCGGGGTCTCGGTGGCCCTGGCCCGTGGGTTGCGCCTCCCCGCGCGCTGCGGTGGCCGCGCGGCTTGGGCGGGGGTGCGGGCCCGCGGGGGCGGTGTCGGGCGCCTTCCGTCGTCAGTCCCTCCCCGGCGGCGCGGAGGGGGGGCGGCGCGGCCGCCGCTCGGCGCCTTTAAGGGAGCGGGAGGGAGAGGCGAGGCGGCGGCGGCTGCGGTGGCGGCGGCCGAGCAAGCGGGGCGGGGGCGCGGGGCGCGGCGCGCACGGAGAGTCCGCTCCGGCCGGAGGTGCCGGGGCCCGGCCGGGAGCGAGCAGCGCCGGCAGCGCAGCAGAGCCCGCTGCCTGGGACATGGCCAAGGCGGGCGGCTCAGGTGAGCGCAGCGCAGGGCGCTCGGCGGGTGGCGGGAGGGATCCCGCGGCCCAGGTGAGCCCCTCGCTAGGTGGGCGGAGGCACAGGTACCGCCGCTACCGGACCAGATCCCCCAGGCTTGTACATGGGGTTTCTGCGCGCCCCGCGCCCTTCCCGCGCCCCCAGTCACCTCGCAGGACGCGGCATCCAGCTCGCCCAGCAGCAGAGGATCAGGTCTGCGGCTCCCATGTCCAGTCTGGCAGTTGGGAGCTGTCGCTGCCCTCAGGGAGGCCCGGGAGTAGACCCTGGCACCGGGACCCAAAGGGAATGTCCCGTGGCTGCTGATACATCCTACCCCCCGCCACGCAAGCCAGGACGCGCCCCCTTGTCCTGTCACTCTATATCCTGGCTGCGACAGCCGCCCCCCTTGCCCCCCGCCCCGGCTGCTAGCTGGGTCTGGAGACCGGGATTCCTGGTCCGGCCGCAGGAGGGGTACTCCTCGGCTGCGGAGCCGCCCCGCCCCCCACCCGACCCGGAGGCAGAGCCTAGGTGCCAGGCTAAGCAGGCGGGGCCTCTGCTGGGGTCCCATGGGCTCTGCTCTCCCGCAAGCTCAGTGCTATAGCCCAAGGATCTCAGGGAGTGGGTGTTAGTCATTCCTTCATTCATCCAGCCAGGCATTCATTCACCAGCATCTGCTCTGGTGCCAGGCCCTGAGTTGGCTGGGACCCGGAGGAGACCAGATTGGACCCCCCATTCCCCAGTCTGCATCCTGGGCCCCCACCATACCCTGGGAGGCCAAGTTGAGGAAAGTCTGTGTTCATAGGGCCGGCCACCCACAAGCAGGGCTGGTCTCAGCAAACCTGAGCTTGGGAGCTGGTGTGTGAGAATCTGCCATGAACTCACACCCAGCCTGTGACGTTGGCAGGTGCCATGCCATCCCAGTGGGGCCTGGTGTGAATGCCACTTCTCCACCCATAAGGCATGGTAAAGATGGAATGAACATGGCCATCTGTCTACACTCTAGATGTGAGTGCCAGTGAGCTCCCTGTAACCCGGGAAAGGTCCCAATCCTGGGACTTGCACTGGCCTAGTGACTCAGGTGCCTGAGATTATACTCCCTGCTATTACAGAGGAGTCTTGTCAGGGAGAGGCTGGTTGTGTGAGACAGCAAGAACCAAACGCATGTAAACACCCCCTTTCCCACTTCCCTCCCCGTCCTTCTGAGGGAGGCACGGTGAGATGAGACCAGGAGGCTGGAAAAGGCTCTCTGCTCCCTTCTTTCTCCTGCCTTGCCCCCCCCCACTCTTCACAAAGGGAGGGCAAGGGTTTCTGTCTGCTGCCCACTTCGCATGTGCTCATGTGTGCACGGGTCTGGATGCCTGGATTCAGCCTCTTGCCCGGCCACCACAGTAACAGCCGCAGTTCGAGCAATCCCTTCTTGTACTGTGCACCAAGGAAATGTGCTAAAGCCCTTTACTGCCACATGATCCTGAGAGGTAGGATGGCACTCCCTTTTTAAAACCTTTGGAAGCAAATAGCTTCCTCAAGGTGGCTGGGAGGGGCTGGGCAGAGCCTGGATTCAAGAGCAAGTTGCCTGGATGCTAAGGAATCTTTCTACCACCACCCACCCCTATTCTGGGAGGGCAGCCCCAGGTCCTCTGCAGTGGCTTGTGGGCCCTTTGGTGCCTGACTGAGGTCCATGGGGAGGAGTACCTGGTGAAGGGTGAAGAAATTGCCAGGAGCTCTCTACAACTTTGTGGTTTTACATTCAGTCCTTTCCCTCAGGGTGAGCCAGACTTCCCTCCTCTGTCACCCGCTGTCCAGTGCCTCTATCCCGTACTCAGCTGCCACCCCAAGGAGCTCTGCAGATGACCTCTGGCCAGATCTGACTACTTGTCCCTTCTCAGCTCTTCCAGGCAACTTTGGCAGCTTACTAACATCCCTTCTCTTCTTCAGCTTCCTAAACCTGGTGACTTCAAAATGCACAGTGTAGAGGGAAGTCTAGTCTCTCCCACCAACCACATTTAGGCTTTAGAGCAGGGGGAGCCAAGTCCTTCTGTCCATAGCTGAGGAAACTGAGGCCCAAGGAAAGGAAACACAGGAGGGTACCACCCACAGACCAAAAGGCAGAAGGGTCAAGCCTTCACTCTGAGAGGTGAGACCAGAATAAAGGGAGGTTGTAGGCCTGGTGTAGAGGATGTGGGAAATCCTGCCTATGAGGGGAGGGTCTGCTTTCTGATTTGTGTGGGGTTTCCTCCGAAAACTGGCCAGGAGTCCAGCTGCTGAGGAAGAGGTGGGATTTGGGTCCTGGGGTTGTTGTGGTCCCTGACTCCCAGCCATCACATCAGGGTGGATGGCAGTGCTGGAGCTGTACAGTGCCCAGCCTGTGCTGAGCAGCCAGCCATGCAGTGCCAGCTGTGCCAGGAGTGCTGGAAAACAGTTCAAGGACTTTCCTGTAGCTGGGAGAATCCAGGTACAAGAGAAAATGCAAGCAGATCCCAGAAAGGATGAGCTTAATTTGCAGAGAGTGGATCCAGCTTGATTATGCCCCGTTTCTAACCTCTGGAGCAACCTCAGCCACATAGGAATCATTATAGTTGGCCATCCCCAATACTTGGAAAGGAAGAACACTCCTTGGTCTTGCTCCATGGACAAAAAGACAGGATGAAAACCCGTGATTGGGGTGGGGAGGAGGAGAGGACTTGGAGTCTATAAAGGAAATGACAATTTGCTGTACAGAGCCACCCATGGGCCAGAGGAGGCAGCAGATTTGAACAGTGAAGGCTGGATTCTTTAGCTGGCTCTTCAAGGCTAGCAGAGTTTGGACAGGATCGTGGCAAGGGTCAGGCTTGCTGGTTCTGCAGAAACTGAGTAAAGGCTGGGAGGCTGGATAAAGGGGAAAACAGCAGTGTACAGGGGCTACTACAGAGAAACCTCACTGACTGGGGTACCGGGTTCCTAGAAGCTTGTTGCAGAAGTCGGCAGGAACTCCAGAGAGCACCGGGCGGGGGAGGGGTGGACGGGGCAGCAACGAGGTGGTAAGCCTTGTGTGTTTGGACTCTGTGAGGGCTCTGGAGACTGGAGGGCTGCCAGCATGGGAGCTGCCTCTGTTGGGAAGGGCTTGCTCTGCCTCCTGCCAGCAGTTCTGCCCCTCCCTTCCCGTGAGCCTTGCTCCCCCACCTCCTTTATTCCAGTGGGCCAGCAGGGTCCGTCTATCCCCAGGCTAATGCAAATGGGAGGCCTGTGACCTTAGGCTGTACAGAAACACAGCAGGTAGCCAATTGAGTGTGTGAAGCTGAAGGAAAAGGGCAGGAATGTTTGTAGAGCCCAGAGCCCATACCACAGGGCTGGGCAGGCATTCTAGGCTAGACGAACCAGTTTATGCCATTTCTAGGTGGCAGCCTCTGCTCTTAAGAGAAGGGGCTGGCGGGGGGGGGGCACTGAAAGACCAATCTGTCATGTGAGGGCTGGGTGCGCGTGGGACGGGGGCTGCGAGCACGCGCGCGCGCGCGTGCGCTATTTGTAGATACTCAGGTTCAAAGCCTTGATTAAGAAGGGGACGTCGAGGCCTAGGTGTGTGCTCCAAGGTCACAGGAAAAGGAATAGCTGACATGAGTACTCTAGATGGTCATGTTTGCGCTCTCACACCTCTGGAAGGGACCAGGGAAGTGGACCAGGAGAGGAAACACGTCTGGGGGAGGAACCAGGTCTGGGCTTGCACTTTGGGAAGATGGCAGGAGAACTGAGGCACATCTGAGAAGCAACCAGGCCTTGGGCGCCAGGATAATATCCCTGTGTATCTTGGGAAGGACATCACTTGTGCAAGGGGACTGCATCCCCTTGCAATGTCAGACTCCAGGAATTCCTCAAACTCTGTCTCCAGGAAGCCTTCCTGGACTTGCTGCAGTCAGGCAGCTCTTAGGCTCTTATATGGAATGTAGTCTCTGTAAAATCACTTGTCGCACAGGCCCCAGTTTGAGACCCTTCACAACCTCTTTTTTTTTTTTTTTTTTTTTTTTCCGAGACAGGGTTCCTCTGTATTGTTTTCAAGGCTGTCGGTCCAGCCTGGCCTTGAACTCACAGAGATCCACCTGCCTCTGCCTCCCGAGTGCTGGGATTAAAGCTGTGCGCCACCACCGCCGGGCCCTTCACAACCTCTTAATCCTGGTGTGGTGTTATTATATGAGCAAAAATGTGCAGCCTAAACAGAGGCTCTGCTTTCAGCATGTGACCCTGGACCTGGAGCTCCTCACTCCCACTGGAGGCCCCTGTGCTGGGGTATAGCATTGGGAGACATACTAAAGACAGGTTTGCACTCCCTATTGCTCTGGGGCTGTGTCTGCAGCTGGTGAGTAGGGTACATCGTAGCAAACTGTGGTAGTTCCTAGCAAGGAGTTTGGAGGCTTCTAGTCTGCCTGTTAAAAATTCATAAGGTGGGGGGTGGAAAGAGATGGCTCAATGGTTAAAAGCACTTGTTGCTCTCAAAATGGACCCAAGTTCAATTCCCAGTACCCACATGGGGGTTTACTACCATCTATAACTCCAGTTCCAGAGGATCTGATGTCCTCTTCTAACCTCTGTGGGCACCAAGCATGCACATGGTACATGCATACATGCACACAAATGCACATAATGTGAGCCAAACACTTATGCATAAAATAAGATAAATAAATCTAATTTAAAAATTTAAGATGGGAGGCAGAGTCCAGAGGGGGCAAAGGGCCCTTCTCTGAATCAAGGGCAGGCATGTAAACTCCAGAAACCAAGACTTTGGGAATTGGAGGTTTCTGAGAAAGAATCAGCCACTTCCCAGGGATGCTCTGAGATGCTAGGCTTGCAGGAACCAGGAAGGGTTTGCATCTGACTCCTTTTTATGGAATCTCTTAGCATTATTTCCCTTCTGATGACCAGATAGCACCTCTTTGCAGAAGTGGGGTTGGGGGTTAGGAGGGCTATGAATGGGGGAATGAACACACATACAATCACAATGTTGTTCCTGTTCTGTATATGGAGGAACTGAAC